ACAGAGCCATTTTCTAGCGACGGACTCTATTGTCTGGCGCCGTGTTCTTCCAATACCGAGCCAGAAATCTTCCTTCTTGTTTCGACTAGTTCTAGCACTGTTGGCTCGATTCTACTTCCTGATTGAGTTTTTCTCTCTTTTCTAAAACCCATATGTGTTCTACATATGGACATAACCCTCTGGGAATTCATTCTCCATCTACCTGATTGAACGCTCTGAGCAACAAAGGGTACATTCGAGAATGTTGAATTCACCAAACCATGGAAGCGAGTTTAACTCGCGGGGCCCCATCCACACGCGCCAACCCTTCCAAAGGTAAGGCTTCCGCACGGTGCATCCGGACTCATAACCATGGACCCTCTTTGACTAACCCATATCCCAAACTTTAGAGAACTAGAGCCATGGTTAGGCTGCAAACTCATTGCATCATATTGTGCCTACTTGACTATTTGTGCATTATTTGTTGTGCATATTCTATGTGTTTTTCCTAACCATTTGTTTGACTTGTGATTAAGTATAAATAAGCTGATTAATGACTAAAAGGACTTTGCCTAATTAATTAATTTAACTAATTAAAGTTTAATAAATTAATCAATACTGACTTAGTAAGACTTTAGGCTAGTCCTTGTAGAGTAAAAATACTGAAAGCAGTCCCAGATTAATGTTTCAGTAATGGAGCAAAAATCTGGGCTGCAGCGCCAAATGCTGTTGTGAAATGCCATGCGACAACTTTGTCGTATGGCGCTGCACTGCAGGGAGCGGCGACAGTCTTGTTGCTTTGGTGACAGTTCAGTTTTTTGCTTGAGTCACCACGACGAGTCTAATTAAACAATTTATTAATCAGTTTGACCAATTTGTTAATGGCAATAGCCTTATTTGGTCCTTAATTGAGTCTAAACACTTAGTCCCATGGTCATACACAAGAGTCAAAGCATGTCACTTGTACTCACAAATAAAGCACACACTAATAGGTACGTACACCATGACCATATCTTAGGTCCATGCATGAGTCGTTTACCGTCATTCGAGTGGCGGGGGTCCAATCTATTCCCATGTTGAATAGATGAGTCAAAATAAATAATAAAAACTTATCCCTATAGACACCCAAATGTGTCTTCCCAAAACCAAACCCAGTGATGAATACCTTTCATGTCATTTGATTATCGAATAATAGCGAAAGTATGAAAAGTCTAGTGATGAGGATGTTTTTATTAAAATATCTCTTCTTTCTGTTTTTGAAAATAGTTTTTTTTCTTACCCTATTTTTGAAAAACGTGCATTCCAGTTTATTTTGGTCCATGATATGGGTCCACTAATAGTGTATTTGGATGAGGCTTGAAAATACCTTTCCAACGATATATTATAAGCCCAATTCCGATGAATAATGAGGAAGTTATGACCAAAATACTAAACTGGGCTCGAACCGGATCTTACCTACGACCCAATGATCAAGTGGAGGGTCCAAAGGTTTAATCCTATTCCTAAACTATTTAGGATTAATTAGAAGCTTCTATAAGTTTTTAAAAGATCTTAATTATCTTTTTTGAAAAGATAAGATTAAAGAATTTGAGTTAAATAAAAACTTTCCTTTTTTAAAACTTTCCTTTTTCTTAAATCCTAATTCTATTCAAATTTAAAGATATTCAAAGACAGTCATATATTATTTTTTTGCCTCATAATATTTATCCAAATTTTATATGGTTGGATAGATCTTGAAATTATCTTTCCAATGATGTATTATAATATTAAATCCGAGTTATAACGAAAAAGATATGAATGAGATATGAAACTCTATCAAAAACTGACACTCTTTCACTATTTAGGCCATATCTTTTTATCTACATAATATTTTAATCTGATTCTTATTGGGTTGGAAAGTAGACTTCAAGAGCTTTCCAAAAACATATTATATGCTTTATTTGGACTTCTGAATCAAAAGATGATATGATAAAAACAAAATCCACAAAAACTGCTGTCCATCGAGTTTTATTTCGATTCGAATTCAGATTCTTTTCTTATTCTTCGACTCTCTTTGTTATCTATAAATAGAGGTCATATCTCCCCTTTTTTCAATCATCATCAACTATCAAATCTCATCAACTCTCATCAAGCAGGCCTTGTCATATCACTCATCACTCATCATTGCATCACAAAGTACAAAGTACTTAGCCTCCGTGCCTAAGTTACCCAAATACTTTCATCATGGAGTAAACAATTGAGATAGCTTAGGATGAATTAATCCTTGCACAACATATGACTAAGCTCATTCAATATGCACCATCAAAAACTTTGATTCTTTTTTGCGTTTTTTTCTTTTTCGGGAAAAGTCGGTACCCTCCACAAAAATGACGGAAATTTTTTGTTTTTTTGCATTTTCGAGTTGCACGATCACATTACAATGCACACACGAGTTATGTACACATTGAGTCATGTTGTGTTATCACATTGAGTCAACACTATGCACACACGGGTCATGAGTCACACTTGTCAATTCACCTCGAGTTAGTCAATCATATTGAGTCAAGTTTATACCTTGAGTCATGTCAAGTCAATGAGTCAAGCAACACTAAGTCTTAGGTCAACCCTGAAGAAAGATAAGCAAAGTCCTATAGTCAAAGATAAATACAGGTGCATCCCAGCGGCAGCAAGAGCAGAATAGGGAAGGCTCGACTCCAGCGCCTGACGACAACATCTAGCGTCTGGCAACAGATTTCAGCGCCTGGTGCTAGATCCCAGCGTCTGGCAACAGAGCCAAATCGCAGCACTAGAGGCATTGCAGCGGCGACAGAACACTCAACCACTCAGAGCAGTTATTTCAACCTCTTTCAACAATTTTGGGTTCCTTGGTACGCCAGTTAGCCCCTGTAAGCAATTTGACATGATTAAGTAGTCGGCTTGATTACAATCGCAATAAGTGATCGATCTGACGAAAGATAGTCACACTTAGCTTAAAGCGCCTAAACATTGGCTCATCGCAAGACACCGGCATACTGGTTCATAAACAGCAGAGGCACCGACATAATGGTTCACAAGCAGCAAAAGCGCCGACGTACTGGCATAACGGAAGCAAAGTTCAAGCGAGCTTTAAAGATCGACAGGCGTTGGTCTTTGGAAGTTTTCTTCGGAATATTATCGCAACAAACATCCTATTATCAAGCTCTTTTGCTCCAAAGACGCGTGGGCATATTATTCAAAAGCTCCATTGTTCAAAGACGAGTGAACATCAAAATAGCAAGATGGCGTTCCATAGATTGTGGAAGGTTGTCACAACAGCAAAATGCAACAATCCGGTTACTCTCATAGACGTGTACTCGACGGTGCAAGATACGCGTTTCTTAACTCTTTTATCTGTTTAACTAACGCTAGTTTGTAGGTATTGGCGTTACAAGAGTGATTTAGGATCGCAGAACGTTCTGAATCATTCTCCGTCCCTATCGATACTTTGACTTTTGTTTTAGAAAGTTGCGTTTCTCCAAGCTCAGTCAAAGTGGGGGCTTCTGTAGACACCCAAATGTGTCTCCCCAAACCAAACCCAGTGATGAATACCTCTCATGTCATTTGATTATCGAATGATAGTGAAAGTGTGAAAAGTCTAGTGATGAGGATGTTTTTATTAAAATATCTCTTCTTTCTGTTTTTGAAAATATTTCTTTTCTTACCCTATTTTTAAAAAACGTGCATTCCAGTTTATTTTGGTCCATGATATGTGTCCACTAATAGTGTATTTGAATGGGGCTTGAAAATACCTTTCCAACGATATATTATAAGCCTAATTCCGATGAATAATGAGGAAGTTATGGCCAAAATACTAAACCGGGCTCGAACCGGATCTTACCTACGACCCAATGATCATGTGCAGGGTCCAAAGGTTTAATCCTATTCCTAAACTATTTAGGATTAATTAGAAGATTCTATAAGTTTTTAAAAGATCTTAATTATCCTTTTTGAAAAGCTATATATATACAAGTAGTTCACAATAAATACTCAAGTAAACTGACTTAGTTAATACTCTTATACATATATTATACATTTAACTCAATGTAAAAACATGTACAATCACTTATTTTGGTTTAATTCTATTTATCAATATATACATTCACTCATAAATCTACATTTATTCATAATTACACTAAAAAAGTCTATACATTAAGCATTAAAAAACCACACTTCTAGCCGTGCTAGTTAGCAACACCACACTACCTCGCGTGCGCCAGGCAACCTTGGTCTAGGAAAGGGACCGAAAAGAACACTGATTTCACAGCTTATTCATTACTATTAGATGAGACACATACATTATCTTAATATCACAATATCTTTACTATAGATGCATCATGCACGTCAATATCACACTCTTATAATTTAAATTTCATAAGTATATTATTTTAATAATTTTTCATACTACTAAACTTAATTAACCCAATTTTGTTTTTTTTTTGTTAAGTTTGAATAAGTTATACTATAAAATTTATTATATTTTTCTTTATAAAGTTAGTCTACTAGTGTTAACATTTAACGGGGGTAATAGCACTAGGCGAGAGCCTGTTCTATACACCCGGGGTCATTTGCTCGTTTAATCAACAAATGAGCAATAATGGTAAACAAACGATCTGCAATAATGGTAAACTTAATTATCTGCTGTTGATTAAATGAGCAAATGACCTCGAGGTAGATGTGATCAAAGTTAACCCGACATGAAAATTTAGGGTTCGTTTGGCATCGCTGTGGTTTTCTGTTTTTTGGTTTTTTGTTTTTTAAAAGTATATTATATATGTCACATAATGAATCAAAAATTATTTAGACTTATTAAAATCATGATAATTTTGAAAACTGACAACAGAAAAGTGGAAACACCTTTTTCTTGTTTCCTGTTTTTGGTTTTTAGTTTTCAAAAAAAACAGGAAACTGAAAACCAAAAATGATGCCAAACAAGCCCTTAGTTTTTTGGGCAGGTTTGAAAATGCCTTTTTATGTATTTTTAGTTAATTTTTTTTGGCCCGACTTGAAAAGCCCACACGGCCTTACTATTTTGGCTAGTTAGGTCATAAAAATTTCGTCCCAAAACTTAGTCCAAACCGGCCCGGACGAGACATGGGTGGATTGTTTCAACTTCAGCCCGGCCCGCCCAATAATCACCTCTACCTCGGTCCTCGGGGTACGGTGCCCGGTGTATTCAAATTCTACGACAGCAAGCATACCCTGTTGCTGAAGAATAATGGAGAACGATCGCCTAATTTCTTCTCTTCGCTCCCAAATTGATTCTCTCCATTGCCGCATCAAGGTACTTTCTTCCTCATCTTTCTTTGATCCTACGTATTTATACAAATGCATAATTTTTAATTCCGACTTTCTATTTTTTTTTAAAATTAAACTTAGAATTTAGAGGTTGAGAATGCAGAAATGGCATCGAAACTTTCGCATTGCCGTTGTTCTAAGGTAATTTAATCTCTTTTGTTCTGCTTTACAAGTATAATCAATCACTTTGAAATTTTTTGAATTCTTACATTTTTGCGCTACTTTAATTTACCATTTTGAATTTCTTTTTTTTTTCTTTTTTTTTTTTTTAATTATGATTTTGTTTAGGTTGAGAATGCTAGTGATTCTAGTGTGAGTAATGATTTAGCTTCGGTTGAAATTGCTCAAAATTTGCATCAAAAGAGTGGCAAGAGCAGGAAAACAAAGTCTCAAGGTTGGTGAATTATTAAAAACTAGCCTTCTGATCCGTACCATGCACGGGTTATTACTTAGAGCAAGTTTAGCCCCAAGTGGGGTGACATCATCAATTCAAATCTTAAGACATATGCTTAAGAATTTTCCCATTTTTCTTCAAAAATCTCAAGCAAGTCTCAAGTTGAGTCTTGAAATTTACTTGAGATTTGGGATTGGGACCCACCTCACCCACCTCACTTTTATTTTTATTGTCCTTTTTTTTATTTTTTATTTTTACACTTTTCTAGAATATAATATGTCAAATATTTAACTCTTAGGGCTAAAGTGATAAATTTATGTAAGTCTTAGTGAGTCTTAACAAGAATTTGATGACATCATTTTTAATGGAGACCACAAAAAATGATGTCACATCCAAATCTTAAGACTTGGGGCTAAACTTGCACTTACAATATTTTCCTTGTAATGTATTGCTTATTTGTGTTGTATGAGTCAACATTGTTTTATTGTACTTTATATGTTTATATAATGTGGACTAATTAACTCAATTTTTTTTTTTTTTTTTACTATTACTTTATTTTAAGGTTAGGATATGAAAAGACCACGACTTTATTTTGGTGTAGTTGAAACATTTAATTTCCTTACCTAAATTTGCAAGTTACGGAACGCATAAAGACTTAAACATTATTTTTTATAAAGAAGGTGGCATGTGGCATATGAGTGATTTGTGGTGACATGTGGCATATGTACTATGTGTGGTTTGTGTTTTTAAATATTAAGTATAGAAGTATAGATATTTGTTTTTAAGTTTTATTGCTGATTGAATTAATGATTTTTAAGCTTATAATGGTCTAGTTCATATTGATTGTGTTGTATATTTTCCTAGTGTTTATATTTCACTAATATGAAGACCCAAACTTGTCGATAGTCGAAGACTTTGATCGGCATAATGTGGAATATTATGTAGAAAAAGAAACAATATATATATATATTTATATATATTCCAGCAGGTCATTATTGTCTTACATTATAACTTCCCAAAATAATTGAGAACAATGTAATATGAGATCAAGGCCATGTATGGTAATGAATTGTATGGATCATAAGCTTAATTCATGAGATGAGCGCATTAGGTTGAGTCAACTAGTGTATGTTTAGCACACAATGAATGGAATTCTAATTATTAATTGCTTAGTATCAATTAAGAAATCATGTGCTATATAAAAGTATTATTTAAGCTAGCCTAGACTGTAAGGTCCAACACCATTATCAATTCATCGTTTGTTTACCATCTCTAATCTTCTCTTAAAAATGTGTGCCTTAGAGATTGTGGTGCTTGCAACTTTGCAAGTAAAAGAAAACAAACGAAATGCAAAAATAAGATAGAGGGATTTGGTTGCTTAAAAGAAACACGGCTTCTATTTAGGGACAATATTTTTGGGTCAAATATTGTATTTGTGATTTTGTGGTAATGTTTGTATTATTATATTTCTGCATGGTGAAGATTTTGCAATATGCATTTGACCTCATTCACTTGTTGGTTATAGATAGCAATGTGAGCATCTTGCATCATCATCCCAAGAGATATGTCGCCCTCAAAGTATTTTATTTTGGTCAACGGTATGCCTTCAGCATATATGCTGAGACATAGTATTCCTTTAATACCTTGTACTGGTCTAGCATGGTTTTCCTTTTTTTAATTTTTAATTTTTTTTATAGGGGTTTACACTAAGTTCTTGACTGGAATATTATGTTACAGGTTTTATGGCTTTGCATCAGAGGTGCAAATGGAACCTACTGTTGAGGTGAGTTTATGTGTCATTGTATATATTTACTTGTTCAATTGGAGAAGCTTTAGAGAACTGTAAATTTCATGATCTTTTGATATGCTAAATCTTTTATGAGGGCATATCAATTACCAAATTACCTCAATTTACCATATGGAGTGGGTTTTTCGTAATTTTTTGATGAAATGACTCTACCTTTTTGTGTAAAAAGTTAGAACATGCCTTTTTGTATGCGCTAATTTGCAAATTAGATCAAATTATTTTAACATGCTTTCTATATGCACTAATCAACATTCTTTTCTCCATTTGTTTTATTTAGAAATGATTATTTTTCCTTCCTGAAGTCTTTTTTGAATAATGATTTTTGGTAGAAAGATCAAAGTCATAACCTACATGTATACTGGAAATTTATAATAACAAGGATATACTCTGAAAACCCTTTACCCTGTAAAGCTGTATGTTTTTTTTTTTTTTCCTCCACACAGCATAGACTTGTTTTGTATATACAGTTTGAATCAACACAACGCTCTATCAGATTTTCCTGTTGCAGCATCATTCACCCAAACACCCTCAGCAAGTAGGGTCCAGAGGTTTTGTTTATGCGCTGCCATATTAAGGCTCAGTTTTTAGCTGCCATTTAAAAAAAATATATATATACTGGAAATTTATTATAACAAGGATATACTCTGAAAAACCTTTACCCTGTAAAGCTGTATGTTTTTATTTTTTTTCCTCCACACAGCATAGACTTGTTTTGTATATACAGTTTGAATCAACACAACGCTCTATCAGATTTTCCTGTTGCAGCATCATTCACCCAAACACCCTCAGCAAGTAGGGTCCAGAGGTTTTGTTTATGCGCTGCCATATTAAGGCTCAGTTTTTAGCTGCCATTTAAAATATATATATATATATATATATATATATATATATATATATATGTATATATAGATATAGATATATATATACTTCTGATTCAAACTGAACTATTACTAGGATTCAACTGCTTTTAATTTACTATCTCTGCTCTAGCTTCCATAAGTGAACATTTGAACCAAATCAAAATCAACAAACATTAATTTTTTTGCTGGTTTGTATTTAGGACCAATTGTATATGTTATACTGTAGTAGTCCTTGTCCAATCTTTCACTCCTTGAACTGTTGAAGTGTCCTAACAAGACAGCTTCTATTATGGCTGAAAGGGGATCCACCGATTACTTGAATTGGTGTTATCCCCAAAAGCTCCAAGATATACTGATTCAGCCTCCACAATACATCTAAAATTCCAAATCAACACAATTTCTTATAAGCTGACTATCAGCTTAGATGCCCTAGAAGCATTATGTATAACATATTAAGCAGATTCCAGGAGTTTAATAGACGTCGTTTCATCTCTTGAGAATAAGAAAAGATTACTATTGTATCACCTTTTGAGAATAATTTATCAGCAAAGCACAGATGTGGCGACTCTCAAAGTCCCATTTGCCCTCACTTAGGATGAAAGTTCTAGTATTCCACTTTAAGCTGTCAGAGCATCTATTCAAACAGTGGGTATCCATGAAAATAAGAAATGGAGTAGCTCTCTGCCTCTCCTTGTCTCAAGCTCTTTATACCTTATAAAGGCCTAGTAGGGACTAGTAACATCACTAATTGAGATAGTGTAAGAAGCAACTAACAATTTGTTTACAGTAACACCAGCTTCATCATTAAATTATAAGAGTCCAAACCCCCTAAATCTCAGCATCAAAGTATGGAAATATGGGATGTGAAATGACTGTGATGTAGTTTGCATTTGATGAGATTTTTTGAATATTTCATTGAAGGTAGTTCTTTAGCTTTGTGTCTCTGTTGGACGTTTTTTGCAGTCTGAACTTTTCAAAGCTTTTGAGAAGACAAGGCTATTGATTGATGATAGAAAGGGTTCACAGTATTCTAGATGTGGCAGAACAGATAAGGGAGTCTCAGCTGTTGGGCAAGTAAGCATCATGAAATTCTACCTGTAATTTGTTACCTTTGTTAAAGCTTGTACTCACTTTGAAAAATATTGTCATTCCCTCCATCCCAAAATAGTTAGCCAAACTAGATAATTAGGAATTAACAATTCAAAATTATGTTTTTCAATCATAAAATAAGCTAGTATATCTGAAAAAGTTAATGCTTAAAGGTCATAATTAATTGTATCAAGAATCATATAGGGGTAAGTTCATGCTATAACTTACCAAATAGAGATAGTGGCCTAATGTTTTATAGGAAAATTATGAAAGTATGAAGAGAGTACTTTGATAACATATTCTTTTCACTCTTTATGTTTATTTGCATATGATTGTGTCTTATCTGCCATTACGGTTATCTTAAGAACTTTTCCACTAATTTGAAATTTGGCTGTAGCTTAATTGCAAGGTTATTCAATCTGTTCTTTGGATATGCAATTACATAATTTCTGGGCACCTAAACTTATTGTATTATTATGTTTAGGCAAGCTTGCAGTACTTGCTGATAGACAAATCATATGAACCTGATCCTGAATTTTGATTCTTCAGAGTTCAGGTTCTTGCAGTTGTAGGGTGCTAAATTGCGTGGAGGCAAGGATGGGAGTTTGAATGGAGGTTTGAATCACAAAATTTCTAAAATTCAAGATTTGGATAGGACAAGGAGATGACAAAGATTAAAAGAAATAATTTACCAGTAATTTATAAATTATTAATAAATTATTGCAAATTTTAAAAATAATTAATTAAATATGAAAAATTTCATTTAAGGAATAATAATTCATACCAGCATCACTACCAGAACATAAAAAATGATAACATTAAGCTATGTAATTTGGCTTTCTTCTGAATTGTGAGCTCGAAAAGTAAAAGAAATTGCTATTTTCTTTTCACTTCTTCGTATTTGGAATAAAGACTGTTCTAGTGTACAATGTTGGAATTTAGTAATATGCTCTAAAGTCTCACAAATTAAACGATTGAGTGGCGATTGTGAGTAGAAGCTGGAGAGGAGAAACAAATTATGGGTTAGATGGCTAATGTAAATACAATGGAGTGGAAAGTGCTTTATCAATACATAGAACTATTCACAGTTTATCCTTGATGGATGAAACTTCAGCAAAAGTGGGTTTCTTGGACGTTCTGAAGATGTTAGGATGACTTATTAATAATGTTTATCACGAGAAAGAAAGCTGATCTTTAGAACTCTACTAGTAGGCTTAACAAAATCACACTAGTTGCTATGCTGTTTGTAAGAACTACCTTGAGAGTATGAAGAGGTGTTTCTATCATAAAATTATACTTGCTTGTGTTATGGGCTCACAATGATTAAGTTCCCCTCAAAAACCGAGGGAAGATCAAATGACTTTTCCAAAAATTGTTTCCAGGTCTCATCTCCTTTTCCAAACTTTTGAGTGAAAGATTTGCCAAGGATCAGAGGTTAGATTTGGGAGATATCCTAGAAGAACATCCCTTTCATTTCCTTGTATGTGTCACCTTTTAACATCTAATTAATGGCCCAATGTTAAAAAAAATTTCAAGAAAAAGGAATATTTATGGTTAAAAAAAAAACAAATACATTATGTAGAAGGTGATATCTGTGACAGCTTCACGCCTTTTACTAAAAGCATGAAAAGTATCTATTTGCTGTCGTTTTGATGTTCCATTACCAAAGCCATGGTGGAAAGAAATATACCTTTTTGCTACTCTACAATTAGGTCATATGTGTACAATGGAACCTTTTGACGATTTTGTCTGCATTCTCAAAATTGGATTGTGTGGGAAAATGAAAAACTTTTTTATGCAGGTGATTGCTCTATACCTACGGTCAAATCTTAAGGCTGAGACAAGTTCTGACAGAGTCGTTTGTGAAGGGCAATATGGTCTGCAATGTCTCCTTGTTTAGTATTCTGGGACTTTTGAACATTATTATCCAAACCCTTTATCTTGACTGTATTTTGTATGTAGTGACATTACTGTATAATTGACTGAGGAGTAAATCATTAATGGGGTTGTTTGCACTATCAATTTACTTTTAATCTCTGTTGGTCAAAGATGCATTCAATTGCAGAAATATGGTGTTGATTTTCTACAGAGAACTCGTTATTTGGTAAAAACAGACATGTCTAAATATAAGTGATTATTATCCAAGTACACCAATAGAATTATTTTTCTCACTTTACATAGCTTTCTTATATCTATATGACCATATTAATCTTATTCATAAATTTCTCTGATCTTCATTTTGTTAAAAGGTTATTTATGGTTATATTTTTTTTTATACAGAAGGTGAGATTGATTACGTGAGAATACTGAATAAAGTTCTTCCAAAAGACATTCGGATTACTGGTTGGTCTCCAGCTCCTGTAGATTTTCATGCGAGGTACTAGAATCAAGCCAATGCTTTTGTTTATGTATAAATAAATTCGTGATTAGATAAATTTGATTATATTTCCATGGAATAGAGACCTTGAGGGCTCTGTTGATGCATAGAAATTATGATATGGATAAGAAACTATTTTGGTGCTCAGAAACTATATGTGTGAAAGGATGTGTTTGCTTTTGCAGTCATGCAGATGAGTCCTCTAAAACAAATTAACACCATTCCTTGAAATATCTTTATAAAACTACCTTTTTGGCCCGTTCTATGCTTGGGTTGCGCATATGTTATTATTTGTGCTAAAAAATCACAACTTGAATAAATTAAAGTCTTTTGACATCTGGAACATTTTATGAATTTTGAAATCATGAAATGTCTCCTCACCAAATCTAATTCTTGTAGAGCACACTTGATATATTGAAAATAATGGCTTATGTCATGCAGGCAATGCCATACCATGTATGTATAATTTGTAGAATATTCTTACACCAAACTCTTCTTTTTCTTGTTGTTTATGTCTCCCTTTTTTGCCTCCTCAAATTTTCTCCATTTTAGTCATCATCTTCTTTTTTCAAGAGCATTTTTAGAGATATGTATGTCTATTTTTTTCCTCCCCTGGGAATTTAGGCGATTTGAAATAAGCTTTATTATAAATTTATACTGTTAGAAAAGGGACTAGGGGAAGAAAATAAGTGGTGGTCATTGATTAGATGACGAATTCAGTTATATTGAAATTGAATGATGGAGGGAGAAAAGGAGAAAATTAAGGGAATTCAGTATTTTAAATTAAAGTGAAAAATTGAAGAGACTGAAATATGAGGGGGAAGCTAGAAAAGTTCTACAAAAACAAAATGATTGATAAAAACATAAAATAGGGCCAATAAAAGAAAAGGATTTATGAAAAAAGGTAGAAAGAGAAGAGGACACGTGGCTGATGAGGTTTGCATTTTTAAATACCAAGTATAGATTGCTGAAGATAATGTATGAAACCAGTTGTTTTTTTTTTTTTTTTTGGTAACTGTTCCAGGTTCAAGTAGTAACCAGCTAACTAATTTGCACGCCTTATGTTCTGTGTTATTTGTTGTAATTTGGGGTGTGCTTGCTAGTTCCTCATAAGGGAATCATAATTTTCTATTTGAAACTACTTTTCTGGTGGCAATGCTTAGTCTGTGATGAATCCTGGTTCATGAATCCTTCGCGCCCATAGCTCAGCTAATGTAGTATTGGTTGGTATTATTGTTATGAAGATCTTCCTGGGAGAAAATTGCTGCTTCTAAAATGTTTAGCAATGAGTATTTTTTTTTTCTTTTGATTATTTACCAATCCGACATTAGATAATCACCATCTAACTAATTGGTTCCTGGGATTTTGAACACCAAAGCTTATTGGAAGACTTTGTATTAAGCTATGGAGTTGAAAGGTTGGGTGTGGAGGCAGTATTACTCCCACATCCCGTAATATAGTTCATGTTTTCCTTTTTGGGTGTCCCAAGACATTATGAAGTATCTACAATTCCCTTATTATTTATGTCTTTACTCATTGCACTACCCAAAATAGCTTCACAATTCTTCTTATTATTTGTGCCATCACCTACTTCTATACTATGTACATTTCTCTTTTTTAGGTACTTCTTTTATTGCCCCACTTACATGTCTTGTACTTTTATTCCTTTTTCATGTATTTCATGTACTCTATCCTCGTATTTCTATTATGGGATGTAGGGGGTAGCAGTTTATGCTTTTATATGATGGAAATAGATTGGAAGAGTTTGATCATAGATGGAAAGCAGTATGGAAATTGTGAATTAGGCAGAGCTTTATTTGTCTTATTTAGATTCTTTGCTAAAGAGTACAGATTGAAGTATATAACTAGTTAAGCATTCATTGTTTCGGGCCTCAATCTCTGAGTTTTGATAACTTCTCTTCTTGTGCATCAATGATTACAGGTTTGGGTGTTTGAGCAGGGAATACAAATATTTTTTCTGGAGTGAAAATCTTAACATATCAGTAAGAAATTTTTAAAGAATTTTAGCTGTAGTCTGTTGCTAAAATTGATATGCAAGCATTACTTTATGCCAATCTGGATGATTACATATTTGTGTTGTTCATGTGCTTTGTAGGCAATGCAGACAGCAGCTAAGAAGTATCTGGGTGAACACGACTTCAGGAATTTCTGTAAAATGGATGCGGTTAATGTGCACAACTATAAGCGATGTATCACGTCATTTGATATCACCCCAAGCAGTGAAAAGTAATCTTTTCAGACTTCTATTTTTTATTGATTTAATTTTTGTTTAAAAATTTGGATTTTGTAAAACATAGTAGACTGTCTAAATTATTAGCTGCAAAAATGTTGAATAATCCTCCATGATAGGAATTTAAGCAGTGAAAAGTAATCTTTTCAGACTTCTATTTTTTATTGATTTAATTTTTGTTTAAAAATTTGGATTTTGTAAAACATAGTAGACTGTCTAAATTATTAGCTGCAAAAATGTTGAATAATCCTCCATGATAGGAATTTGTGTAGAGAGAGAGAGAGAGAGAGAGAGAGAGAGCATATGGGTAAAACTAGGTCTTTTTGTGTGGGGATTGGGTAAAAGTGGAAAGGACAAAAAGGAATGGACTTATAGGGACAATGTAAAGAACAAGGAGCGGTGGTAGTAACAAACAAGTATCTGTATTTGTTCGTCGTAATTTTTTTTTTGTCTTACATTTTAGATACAAGGGCATATCCATTTTATATTCTCTTCAATTTATAATCGTGCGGTTAACTATCAAAAGATATAATATTGAACAACCATAGATCGGTGTTTGATTTCTCTCACTTAAAACTTTTCACAAAATGCTTCATGATGAAGACAATGACTTGGACCTATTTGAACATAATTTGTCATCATCGTTGCTTAGCAATGGCATGGACTATAAAACTTATTTTGGTTGGATTATTAACATTACATCAGCTATACTCTACCTAATTATTTTGCTAGTAAGATACATTTTTATAGGTTTTTGTTGCTAATTTGAACAAAAATATTTACTGCTTTTACCTTGTTTCAAGGCTATAATATGGCTTTTATTTTTTATTTTTTATTGTAACTAATAACTATAATTGCGCCATGGATATTATGATTCAGGTTTAAAGACAAAGAATTATGGGCCATCATAATTAGAGGCAGTGCATTCCTATGGCACCAAGTTCGATGCATGGTTGCTGTATTATTTATGATTGGAAGGGGCCTAGAATCAGTAGAAGTAAGTATAAAGCATCTCTTTTAATAAATCTGGATGTTGTTGCTAGAATATTTGGCTGCGATTTATTTATTTATTTATTTATTATTATTTTCCTTTGAAATACTACACCAGTTCCAAAATTAGTGAATAATTGACATAGTCAAACTTGACACACTTCCCAACAAATTATTTTAACCATTAATGTATAACTTAATCTTAGGCCCTGTTTGGTTTGATGTAAAAGGTTTTCATGGAAAATGAATTTTCCATTTTTTCCCATTTTCCTTAGTTTGGTTTGTTAAGGAGTGGAAAACAATTTTTCAAGGATGGAAAATTCCATCTTTAATGATGGAAAACATTTTCCTTCCAAAAACAAGGGAAGCCACATTTTCCTCTCTCTTCCTTACCTCTTTTTTTACTTCCCTCTCATTCATCCCTACATTTCCACTCTTATTTTTTATTTTTCTTGGACTTTTCTTGTATGCAACCAAACAATGGAAAACTAATTTGCAATTGTGTTTTTCCTTGAAAATATGTTTTCCATGAAAACTAATTTTCCATTGAAAATGTTTTACGTTAAACCAAACGGGGCCTTAGTAAAAATTGTTGAAAAGTCAACATTATGAAACTTTGTACTATGTATTACTACCTATTTAAAGAGTTGCATGACAACATTTGTTACGAAATTAGTAAAAAAAATTATAGTCAAAGTTAATACTATAGTAAACAATTGAATAGTTTAAAAGGTTCAAAGAGTCAATTATTCTGGAATCTCTGTCCCAGATTAAGTAATTGACACGTTGGACTTAAATTAACTACTCATATACTAACTTTGACCATGGATTTTTAGTAACGTATTAAAAACAAATTTTATCACGAAATATGTTGTTGAATAGATATTTAAATATAAAGTTTTATTATATGAACTCTTTTATTTGTTCGTTGGTCTATGCTTGCGCTTATTAGTTAGGGATGTGACAACAGATTGAGGGATTGGGACAGGGGGAGTTATCCACTTTTTGTCAATTGCTTGAGAAAAGAGAGAAGCTGAAAATGAGCTAATAAATGTTCTACTAACTGACTAACAGATTATGTTAATTCATTATCAGAAATGGACATGAAAACTAGTCTCAACACCTTGATTTCTTTCTATTTATCTCTCTCTTCTCTTCTTTTCTTTCTGCCCTTTTTTCTTATTCGAGGCTTAAGAGGTGGTGAAGAACGGACTGACATGGAAAATTTAATATCCTCATATTTTATATTTTTATTTATTTAATTATTGGAGACTAAGGCTTTGTTATTGTTTTTCGTTGTTGTTGCTGTAATTTTTTTTTTTTTTTTTTTTTTTTTTTTTTTTTTTTTTTTTGTAAAAGCTAATTTTGTGTGTCGATTGTGGGAACGGTTGTTGTGGGACTATTCTTATTATGAGGGTAATGCATGCATTAGAGATTGTGGGCCGGTGGATGTTCCACTCTCTATATGCTTGTGTGGATCTTATGGGGCTCTAAGGTTAGATAGATTGTGTGTGCTGATGATTGGTTAGATCATTTCCATACAAATGGTTGGAACTATGGGTAGTTTCAGATGCTCTCTTTTTGTTTTTGAGTCCTCACATATATTTGAAGGACCTTGCCCCTTCTCCATATATAAATATGTAGGTTTTGTAGCATAATTCAAAGCAGATGGTTTTGGAGTAGCAGATTGGTTGTTCAATGAAGAATTAGTGTGGATATAGATTGAAGAAATTTTCATAGAGGAGAGGTTAAAGCTTGAAGCTATGAATTCGGTGATAAGAGGGTGAAGAAGTGATATTATTTTTACTTGTTAGTCTTTTTCACCTTCTCAATATGTTTCGTTTTTTGTTTATGTCGGGTATACTTGTGGCTAGAAAACGAGGTTGTGAAGTGGTGTAATACTTTCAAGTTACAACTGTTTTGGTTGCGAAGGATGTGATATACTTTGTGGCATTCTATAGTATTATTCCTGATTGGAATCTCAAAAACCTGCTAGAATCATAATTTACAATGTACTGGGTTTTTTTTTCAATCAATCATTCTCTCTAGTACTTGAATTGTTTATTGATGGCCCAATTTGAATTGGAAAGGTTGAGGTTTAGGCCCTTTTAGATGAAGACATGGCTGGGTGAAAGAAGAGAGGGTGCATGGTTGAAGTAAATTTAAAGACAAAATTGGTGATCGAAGAGGAAGTGTTTAGGGCTGCAAAAAAGGGTGATGACCAAGGTGCCTTGATTTAGATGATCTTCCAAATACCTTAAAAGGAATTAGGTACCCATAATCTCCCCTTGATTAAAAAAACAGGTAATGGAAGAATTTTATGTTATTTTCGTTTCCAGCCCCTCAAAGTTGAAGATTGAATCAAAGTTATGGCAAGTCTTTGTCTCTGTGTCTTTCCCTTTTGAAAGATGTTCCTTGAGCATTCAGGTGCCGATCTTCACTTGGGCAGTCTTAAAACCAAAATTTCGGTAAATAAGTCAATTTGATGCTCTATCTCTGTAGATGTATGGTTGCCGGTTGTTTGTAATTTTCAATTTTTCAAATACTAAGTTTGAAAAAGAATGCATATACTTGGGTGAAATTAGGAATGTCTGTTAAATGAAGTGCATCTCAACTACCAATACACAACTGACCTTCAGGTTGATTAACACTGTTTGAAAGACTGTCCATTTATACTTATTTTAAAGTTTCAAGAAATTCAGAAAGTCAAATTACTGTATACTTTTGAAGCTATGAAAACTTGATGTTATTAACATGAGCATTGTCCCGATGCCTCTAAGGAGGTTCTTGCACATTGCGAGGTAGAAGAAATTAGATGTACATAGGCTTCCCTACCTTGTTAGCTTGTGTCTGATTGACCATTGATCAATATATAATGACAATATGCTTATTAAAATATAGAAACATATATTTTAAAGCACCAATTTAATAGAATAGTATAGAACTATAGAAGTGTCATCAAAGACAATTATTATTGTCCTCAACTTCAATTTTCTCAACATCATTAGTCAACGAATCACAGTTCTAAGCTTGAATCATGTATTACTTCCCTTTTATTTGTAACATTTACATGCATTGCTTAGTTTTTTCGGCTTCTTGAGTTCATTTTGTTTCTTATTCAGATTATAGATGTTTTACTTGATATTGAGAGAACGCCTAAGAAGCCTCAGTATACTATGGCCTCAGCATTGCCTTTGGTTCTAAGCTCTTGTGAATTTGAAGGTCCGCAGTTCTTTACTTCAGCAGGTAAGTTTGTATTGAATATATTTATTAGATTTTGTTTTCAAGTGGGCTATGTGACATGTAAAATTCTTGATTTGGTATGAGATTTTGTCAAGTTGAAAATTTTAAAAAAAATATTTATGATGGCCACCAGTCCTTAACTATAATTTTATTTTTTATTTTTTTATTTTTATTTATTTTTTATTATTATTATTATTATTATTATTATTATTATTATTATTATTATTATTTTATTTTATTTTTACTGTATATAATTATCATTTTCTACCTTTATCTTAGACTTGGTGTTTATGATAAGTTGAATTCCCATTTCTCAACTCTCAAGTATTGAGAAAGCCCATCAACATTCAAGAAAGCATATCAGATCTTTTCTTCTAAGAATATCTGGGTTCTCTCTGATGAGCTCATTAGTTTTATCGTCAATACGGCCCTTAAAATGGGTAAAATAGCTTAGAAAAATTTCTCTAGAATGTAAATCTGCTATAAAATGCAGAGTACATGTCAATATGTCATCCATGCTGAAAGTTTGGGGAACCTTTAATTAAATAACAATAAGAATAATATTCCAAGTTCTGTTCTGCAAATCCCAATTCACGAATTAATTCGTGATATTTGGTTAATCATGTATTCTTGGGGAGGGTGAAATGAAAATCTTCTATTTTTGTGGAGGATAGGAAGGTATGTCACTGTTGGCATGTGAAGTTGCATTCCAGAACAATGTCAATAATGAAGCACAATTTTTATCTAGTTTCATGTTTCTTTGTGTATTGAATGTTCTGGAGATCAGAAACACGTATGAAATAACTATGAACTGTGTAAAGGACTGAATGGATAGAAGGAACATGTAATAGATTGCAAAAACAGAAAACAATTGAAACGAGGATGAATCGAAGTGTAATGGACTCAGGCCACTACTCCATTTACAGCAACTCAAAACAAAGAAAGACAGAACAAATAAGGAAGAAGCTTTAAGCTTGATTATATTTAACAATGGCAGCAAGAAAAGAACACAAACTAGTAGGTTTAACCTACAACTCTCAACATTAGTAGGTTTAGCCTACAACTCTCAAGTAGTGGATTTGGCCCACAACTCTTAGAGATAACTCTCATACAAAATGCCTGCCTAAACCCTTTCCCCACTTTCATTTATATATACCAGTCCCTAGACTGATTTGGTGGCTGCTGATGATTGTTTGTCTTCAAGTGTGATTCGTCCTGTTGTGTTCCAGCTGCTTGTTGATGTTGCTGATGTTCTCATGTGCATTCTCACTCTCTTGGGCTAAGTTACCAATTGGGCCTTGCCACCTCCTTGCATATGTATATTGTACTTGATGTGATTAAATCCTTAAAATGAGCATAATTGCTTGTAATCCCAGTTTAAGTAGCTGGACACTCTCACTAAGACAAAGCTACCAAATTATAACTTCTCAACAAATATTCATCATACTTCTCTTTCCCCTAAGCTCCTCTATTTATAGACTGATTCCCCTATTTGCTCAAGGCCTCAAACTAACCTATCTTAAGTAGAACTACCATCCCCTTGGTCTAGATGCCAATTTACTACTACAAATTCCTCGTAAACAAATTTAACAATATGGATGCATGCATGATACAATACAAGTGTTCAGAAGTCATAATTGTGCATAATTTCATGGTCTCTCTTTTCTCATGAGGGTTAAGTTATTGTGCAACATTTTAGGTACAGAAGCTACTTTTTTATCTTGTTTGACTTTAAAAGTTTTGTGTAGATGCAAGACAGGCATTATGCGCACACTTGGAAAATGAATGCCAAAATTTCATGCTGCAATTTGCTATTTTTAGTAATGCTCTGGATAGTTGTTCGTCCATAGAAGATGATGAAGGTGGCCTATGACTATGTTCTCCATTGTTTTTTAAAGCATGAAAAGTAGTGAGGCTGACTGAAGGAAAGTTAAAGTTGGACATGGACCTGAATACCTGATGTGTGTTATTTTTCAGGAAGACATTCCCTTACAAAAGCCGCTGGGATGAAGAAATGCGTGCACATACCCTTGAGGACAAGGCCAACTGAGCGTGAGTCTGATGATAATAATCGTATTTAGAAAAGCATTTGGGGGCAGGTGTGGGTGTGTGGTGGGGGGATATTTTCTGAAATTACCAACTAGAGAATCTTCAATCTCTTTTACTTGCAAAGTTACAAAGACGTTAGAATTTGTTTGGAAGCTGTTTATTTCCAAAAATGACCCTCTGCTGTAAATTTTCGAAAATAAACAGCTTCTAAACAATTTAACTCTGCTTGTACATTTTCGAAAATAAACAGCTTTTAAACAGATTTACTGCTAATTTTCCTATTGGTTTATTACGTCTTAATTTTTCAGTCAACTTTGGTTTTTACTGCTTCTATTTATTGGTTTCAGCTTCATACGAGGAACGGCGTGCCAAGTTGAACTCATGAGGCCTTAGTGAAGAATTTTGTGGATTGATGAGCTTAAGCTGCTAAATGAGCACTACATATTTCTCAGAACTCTTTTTTTTTTTTTTTTTTTTTTGTTTTTTTTTTGCATCTTGTATTATGAGTTTATGACCTAACTTGAGGAATTATAACCATGATCCTTATTTGTAGGTTAACAATGCTTGTATAATTTCATGTTTAGATCTTAGGATTTGTGATATTATTTTATGAAATATGTACTTGTGGTCATCATTCTATTTTTCCATTAATATGATAGATTACACAACAGATACACCCAGGAAGATCCCCTCAAAGAAAATTAATTGAGGTTGAAGTTTGGAGCACTTAGCCAAGCACTAGACCTCTGTTAAGGTTCAATCCTCAATAGGGATTACTTTTTTTTTTTTTTTTTTTTTTTTTTTTTTTTTTTTTTTTTCGAATCCTCAATAATGAAAGTATGGAGTTAACAAGATTTTTTTTTTTTTTTTTCCCAAATTCTATTTATTTAATTTGTCAATTATTATGAGGCTTTTAAGACCAACAACATAATCTAGAAGCATATGGTGGGGGGTTGAACTTGTGATCTCAAAGTGCAATGTGGTTCCTCATCATCTCCACCAAATATGCTTGATTAATGGCATACTACGTATGGAAACGTAAGTGCAAAATGTGAATGATGGTATTATACCCATCCACCCTACCCCCACCATCGGTCCTTCCCCACCTCACCTGTGTAGCTGCCGCTCCCTGTCCCACCTCCGACACACCCCCTTACCAGCCTATTTCACCGGAACTCACCCTTCAACTATTCTCGGCCCCTGCCCAAAAATCAACAGCCACCTATTACCTACCTAAAAACCAACAACCACCCTTTTCCCCATCCAAAATTGCCCCTAGTTTTTCAAACTTCTTAAACTGGCCATTGAAAACGACCACTAGCAACCGAAATTGCTTGGTTTAGAGCATGAGTGGTCGAAATCTACTTAAATGGTCCGATTTCAACCGATAGTGGTCGTTTCATTTTTGGGGAGTAAGAAAAACAGGCAGCCATTTTGGATGGGGAAAGGGGTGAATACTGGTTTTAAGGTAGGAGAAAGGGAGGGGGGTGAGTTCCAGTGGCAGGGCTAGGATGGTGGGGTGATGGTAGTAGACTGGTAGGGACGGAGAGGCTGGGTTAGTTTTGGGGTTTTGATTTTTTTTTCTTTTTTTTTTCTTTTTTTTTTTGCGACCAATATATGGCGACATGGGACATTGATACATTGTGGGCTCTATAAAGGGTTCTTACTCTTCTTAGTAGTAGAGTGAATCTGTTAAGTAGTGATAAATCTATTTTTTAAACTTTCTATGGTGTTAAGATAAAAGTTTTTGTTAAGTGTTAAAAACATTTTTGTGCTCTTTCATTGGCAACATTGCAATTTTAAAGGAAAATTGATCAATGCTCTGTCATTTTCATTTGCAGAGAGATGGGCATGCTTAGTAGCGAGGTGTAATGCTTATGAATTGAGAAGGTTTTTTTTTTTTTTTTTTTTTTTTTTTTTTTTTTTTTTTTTTTTTTTTTTTTTTTGTTGTTGTTTGTTTGTTTGGTTTTGTTTTTTTGTTTTTGTTTTTTTTTTTTTGACAAAAAACTAACAAAACTAAAAGCGATAAGCAAAAGTCTATGACGAGCTAAGCTCGCCATAAAATGAGCATATCCTATATCATGCCGAGGCACTTTATGAATATCAAACCTCCTAAAGGTCAGGACAAGCTAGCGAATCTCCTTCAGAATCCAAATAACCGAAATTGCATCCGAAAGATGACCTTTAAGCAAATACTGGACCGAACAACAATCAGTATAAATCTGAACACTAGAATAGCCTCTTTCCTTCACATGACGCAAACCCAGTAAACAAGCCATTAATTCAGAGTGAAGAGCCAAAGAAGCAAACCCCGCTTGGGCCCCCTCCTACTATAGGGGAAGAAAGGGCAAGAGAAAGAAACCAACCCATGCCTGCACGGCGATCCGTAGCATTCCAAGCCCCATCAAACGCAAGACAGATATCGTAGAGGCCAGACGATATGTTCTGCATGTGAAGACATGAAGATAAACCAAAACCCAAAGGACAAGCAGGTTGAGAGAGAGAAGAGAGGTCCCTGGCATTCGAGCTACGGTCAATCCAAGCCACAGCCACAACCAAAATCCCAACCGAAGAGCACACATGAATGCCACTAGTGCATCCAGACGTTTCCAATCTTTAGAAGCCCTAAAATGACCAATAGTATTAGTCAACCAAGCACTAAAATTTTCAATCAAAGATAAAAATCGAAACTCCTCCAGATGATACAAAGGCCAAACAGACCGAATAAATGCACACTGATAGAATAAATGAGACATTGTCTCTTGAGATTGTTGGCAGAAGCCACAAGTAGGATCTATCGGAATCCCTTTCAAGTGCATAACATCCACTGTGGGAAGAGCATTGTGCATGATTTTCCAAATAAAGAGTTTCCACTTAGGCCTTGCCTGGAGCCCCTTGAATAAATAAGGGGATAATCACTACAAGAAAACACCAAAATTGCGACGGAAAAAGTTCGTCGGAACATACGCCATTTTCGTCGGAAAGAAGGGTTCCGACGGAATTCCGTCGTAAAGGGTTGTCGAAAAACCCTTTGTAGGAAAATGGCCACATTACGACGGAATTTCCGTCGTAAACCTTTCTTTCGACGGAAATAATGTCGTCGGACTTGTCTTTGGCCTTAATTGATGATCTGTCGCAAGTATCCGACGGAAAAAGATCCGTCGCAAATTATATATTTCCGACGGAAAATTCCTTCGTAAACTAAAAGTTACGACGGAAAAAAGCGTCGCAAAGTAATAATTACGACGGAAAAAAGCGTCGCAAATAACTATTTACGACGGAATTTTCTGTCGTAAATATATAATTTGCGAGGAAAAATTCCGTCGTAAATAGTTATTTGCAACGCTTTTTTCCGTCGTAATTTTTAGTTCCAGCCAGTAAGAAATTCCTGTAAAAATATGCATTTCCAAACCTGATTTTTTTTTATGATAAATCGACATAAAAAAAAGCATTTGAAAACCTGAAATTGTTGTTTTAAAAAAATTAATTACCGACCTACGAAATTATATTTATTTACATATATATATATAATAATTATGTCCTAGTACAAAAGATAGTCCACATTTTGGTATATATACCAAACAAAAGCTAGGTTAGAGTGATTCTATGCTAGACTAAAGCTAAGCTACGCAATTGCCTGGAAACCATGGCCTGCTCCACCACTACCCGGGTCGTCCCTTGGGTCTCGATGCTGAGGATGAATGGTGGAATATGAGTCGTTGTTGGTTAAACGACTCATCATCTCATCCATACTCTCCTTGTATATCCTCTTCATTTCAGCCATTCGGGAGTCAATTCGCCTTTCCATCTCGGCTTCCATTTGAATTTGGAGAGCTTGCACCCTGTGTTCCATCTGGTCTTGCATTTGAGAAATGACAGACGGCGTGTATTGCTGTGAAGAACGGGAACCTCGACCCATCTGTTTGCCATAGTAGAGCTCTGCACTTTGGCCAAGTCCCTTCACACGCCCCTTCTTATTGCGCCCACCCACCGTCTCCCAGTAAAACTCATTGGGACTCTTCTGAATCCTCTGACTCCTTGTTTCTTCGAGCTTCTTCTGGTAGGTCTCCTACAAAATATTGAAGATAATAAAAAATATTGTTAAAAAAACAACCAACAATATAAGGTAAGGTTTCTTTCTTCTAACATTCCAATATCACATACTTTTAGGTGGCTAAGGATAGAAATAAAGAGAAATAAGCACATAAGTCAATTTTCGACCCTAACTCATCCAAAATCATCCAAATTTGGCCTATATGGCTAAAACCATGCCTATTTTATATGTTTTCAAGCAAATGGACTCGTTCTTTCTTCTAAAATTCCAATATCACATACTTTTAGTTGCCTAAGGATAGAAATTAAGAGAAATAAGCACATATGTCAAATATCGACCCTAACTCATCCAAAATCATCCAAATTTGACCTATATGGCTAAAACCATGCCTATTTTCTATGTTTTCAATCAAATGGACTCGTTCTTTCTTCTAACATTCCAATATCACATACTTTTAAGTGCCTAAGAATATAAATTAAGAGAAATAAGCACATATGTCAATTTTCGACCCTAACTCATCCAAAATCATCCAAATTTGGCATATATGGCTAAAACCATGCCTATTTTCTATGTTTTCAATCGAATGGACTCGTTCTTTCTTCTAACATTCCAATATCACATACTTTTAAGTGCCTAAGAATAGAAATTAAGAGAAATAAGCACATATGTCAATTTTCGACCCTAACTCATCCAAAATCATCCAAATTTGGCCTATATGGCTAAAACCATGCCTATTTTCTATGTTTTCAAGCAAATGGTCTCTTTCTTTCTTCTAAAATTCCAATATCAATTGCTTTTAAGTTCCTAAGGATAGAAATTAAGAGAAATAAGCACATATGTCAAATATTGACACTAACTAATCCAAAATCATCCAATTTGGCCTATATGGCTAAAACCATGCCTATTTTCTATGTTTTCAAGCAAATGGACTCGTTCTTTCTTCTAACATTCCAATATCAATTAATTTTAAGTGCCTAAGGATATAAATAAATAAAAATAAGCACATAAGTCAATTTTCGACCCTAACTCATCCAAAATCATCCAAATTTGGCCTATATGGCTAAAACCATGCCAATTTTCTATGTTTTCAAGCAAATGGTCTCGTTCTTTCATCTAACATTCCAATATAAATTTCTTTTAAGTTCCTAAGGATAGAAATTAAGAGAAATAAGCACATATTTCAAATATCGACCCTAACTCATCCAAAATCATCCAAATTTGGCCTATATGGCTAAAACCATGCATATTTTCTATGTTTTCAAGCAAATGGACTCGTTCTTTCTTCTAACATTCCAATATCAAATTCTTTTAAGTTCCTAAGGATATAAATAAAGAAAAATAAGCACATAAGTCAATTTTGGACCTTAACTCATCCAAAATCATTCCAATTTGGCTTATATGGCTAAAACCATGCTTATTTTCTATGTTTTCAATCAAATGGAAGATTTCTTTCTTCTAAGATTCCAATATCACATACTTGTAGGTGCCTAAGGTTAGAAATAAAGAAAAATAAGCACATAAGTCAATTTTCGACCTTAACTCATCCAAAATCATCCAAATTTGGCTATATGGCTAAAACCATGCCTATTTTCTTTGTTTTCAATTGAATGGAAGGTTTCTTTCTTCTAACATTCCATATCACATACTTTTAGGTGGCTAAGGACAGAAATTAAGAGAAATAAGCACATATGTCAAATATCGACCCTAACTCATTCAAAATCATCCAAATTTGGCCTATATGGCTAAAACCATGCCTATTTTCTATGTTTTCAATCAAATGGAAGGTTTCTTTCTTCTAACATTCCAATATCACATACTTTTAGGTTTCTAAGTATATGGTTCCAAGAAAAATAAGCACATAAGTCAATTTTCGACCCTAACTCATCCAAAATCATCCAAATAAGCATATAATGAGTTCTACTTTGCTAATTTGCCATATATCAACTCATATAATAAGTTTTTACCGCAATCCTTTTTTCTTTGGTGTTGGCAGCCACTTGGCCTTTTCCAGGCACTTCCTTGAAGTGTGTCTTCAAGAAAAGATCATGGGCATTTGGTAATTGGCCTTGGTTTTGTGCAACCTTTATGTATACATGCAGAAAATCAATGAAAACATGTTAGCCCACCAAAATTCATTAATAGATAAATGACTTAATTGTTACTAGACATATTTTAGGAACCTTACCATCTTTTTATCATGTTGTACAACTGATATTGTACCTTGAAAGTGGGTCGGTTCAACGACATTTTCCATGGATCCGCCTCTTCGGTTCTTCTTGTTTTGTTCCGACCGCTTCTTATAATCTGGATCGGTGGCAATAATTCGCATCATGCGTTCGTGGACATCTTTATTAAGCTATTTTGGTCTTCCACCATTCAGCCTGTGTGTGATGTTGTAGAACGTGTCATGTAGGCGATTTGCAAACTTTTCTTCGAAAGTGTCCTTCACTTGGTTGTTTAACTCAGGTGCCCACTTGAATTTTTTCTGCAAATCAAGAAAATGTCTTTATTACAAAATTCAACGCCATCAATATACTTTATAAAACATGTATTATGTTAGGTTAAAGTTATCATACGCTGAACAAGTTCCAAAAGTGCTCTCTCGAATCTTCATCAACCTCTCCATAATTCCTCCAAGGCTCAACATAGTAGCCGGTTAGCGAGTCGGAGAGCACATTCTTCACCGGCCTATCATCAAACCTATAATAAAGGATAGACATTCATGTAAGTAGATAATCAACAAAAAGTGAACAAAACATGGTAAAAGTAATACAAATTCACTTTATCAAAGTAAATACGAATTTAAGGATATTTCATTACAAATACATACGCACCAAAGTGTGGAATGGTCCAACTCCAACAAGTCATTAGGTTGCGGGTCCTGTAGCTCCTGTTCCTGTTGCTCCTGTTGCCCTTGTAAATGCCTAGGAATCTGTCTCCGATTGACGATTTCTTGAGAGGCCCCCAAATCATGTGCCTCCTCTTCGTCAATTGACTCATCCTCGTCAACACGTACAACCTGAGATTTCCCCTTAGTCTTTCTCCTCTTGGACGTTTCTCCTTTATTTCCTCCTCCCATGATGACCACCTGAAAAATTTGTTAGTACCATGATTGCACATTGTAAATTCATAAATTATATCCATAAGACATTCAAAAAAATAAAATGAGACCAAAAATGTAATGCAATATTAGAAGTCCGAGTAGTCATTAAAAACAAAACATTCGAAGACAATAGTTAAAGGAGTAACTACATATTCTCCTCTTCTTTACTCTTATCACTACTACCACTATCATTATCACTATCATTATTACTATCACTAGTGTCATCTAAAAATACATCGATGTCCTCTTCTTCGTCACTATCACTGGAGCCAATGCTTTCTTCTTCTTCTTCATCGCTTGAGATAACAAAGCCATCGTCATCATCATCATCACTATCAAGTTCATAGTCTGGAATGTCAGTTGGTGGACAAAGCGTTTCATGTACTTGTGGTGAAGGACCCTGCAAAAAACTCTAAATCCACCGGAGCATCAATCACCGACCTTGCTTGAGTTCTAAATACAGCCCACCATTGAACCCGATCACGTTTAAGGCTAGGGTAAGATGCATAATACACTTGGGACACTTGGTAAGATAAAACAAATGGATCATACTTGGGATACTTCTTAGTATGATTTACTTCGACAAGCTTGTATTGTTCATGAATGTTCATTCCTTTACCACAATCCATCCAACTACAACTAAACAAAATAGTCTTGTACTCTTTTTCGGGACTGGTGTAGACAAGTTCAATTATGTCGTTTAAAATGCCAAAGTGCACTCCACCGTCCTCACTTGAGACACACACCCCATAATTCATCGTAGATTTGTGTTTGCCATAGGACTGTGTGTGGAAATTAAAGCCACCGACAAATATCTGGTTCCAAGTTCAACACGCTTGAAAGGCCTCATAGACAATTCTCACAACACATCAGAACTTGGTTTCTGTTCTCTCACCTATAACCGTTACGAATACAAATGTCACACTAATTGAAATGAAATATATTGTATTATCACAAGTTAATCGATATGCAATGTTCGAAAAGTATTATCACCTTGTGAGAAACCAATCAGGGAATTCACTTTCGCATTTCTCCATGACATCTTCTCGACGCAAATAAGTTCGAGTACTAAGAATGTAGTCCTCAAACTGCCTAATAGATTAATGACACATGGTTAATCATTGCAGCAATTATATTAAATTTAAGGATTTTGAAAAGTTTATCCTAAACATATATACCTTTCGTATTCACCAAGAATGCCGGTATTTCTTAAAACGAACAAATGAGCACGTTCGAGTTCCTTGTCATCTAAATACCGAGTTTTATCCAAATTTGACACACGACCCTTATCCACCGTGAACAGCTCTGGGATTTCATTGTTGTCAGCCGGGGATTCCACATCAGCATTCACATTTCGACTTAGATCTCGTGTTTTTTTGTCAACTGAGGGCTGAAAGTAATTGGAGCAGAAGTTTGATATCTCTTCAGTGAGATAAGAGTTGCATATGGAACCTTCAACACGAGCCTTATTACCAATTTTTCGTTTCAGGTGATTGAGGAACCTGTAATTATTTTTATATAGCCGTAGAAGTATAAGTAACGAAAAGCAATGAAAGAGATGAAAGTAAGAGTTGAGAAAGGGCCTTTGATTTACCTTTCGAAAGGATACATCCACCGATATTGAACAGGTCCACATAACTTTCCCTCTTATGGCAAATGAATTGGTAAATGCTCCATGGAGTTGAAGAAAGATGGGGGGAAAACCTTCTCAAGCTTGCACAGGATCTCAGCTATGTTTTTTTCCAATCGCTCCATGTCGCTAACTGTAATTGTGTAGCAACATAAATCGCGAAAGAATTGGCTTATCTCTGTAATTGCATTCCATATATGGGTAGGGAGAAATTCTCTCAAAGCAGTGGGCAACAACCTCTCCATGAACACGTGACAGTCATGGCTTTTCATTCCATGTAACTTACCTGATTGCGAATCAACGCATCGGCTCAAATTGGAAGCGTAACCATCAGGAAACCGCAATTGTTTGACCCACTCACACAAAACCTTTCTCCGAGCCTTGTCAAGAGCAAATGGAGCCTTTGGCATGAATTCTTTTCCTCTATCATCCTCTTGAAGATGTAGCTGGGGCCGTTTACAGTATTTAGCAATGTCATTCCGAGCTGATGGCGTGTCACAAGATAGCTTTTTCACGTCCATTATAGTGTGAATCAACTGATCAAAAAAGTTTTTTTCAACGTGCATGACATCTAAGTTGTGACGAACAAGCAGATGTTTCCAATATGGAAGGTCCCATAGAGTGCTTTGCTTGAACAAACTTTTTTTTGCATTCTTGAGACGTTTCAGTGCCTCGGGGCCATCTGTTGCTTTCGGGAGGTTTTTCACACATTCCCAAAGTTCCTCTCCTGACATGATGTGAGGTGGTGAACCTTTTCCGACTTTTTTTTTACAAAATGCATTTTTACTATTTCGAAAAGGATGATTTGTCGAAAGGAATTGACGATGGCAATCAAACCAAGAAACCTTACCACCATTTTCGAGCCAAAATGCTTTGCTTTTCTCCATGCAATATGGACAAGCCTTCTTACCGGCTGTGGTCCAACCAGATAACATACCATAAGCCGGGAAGTCACTAACGGTCCATAGGATGGCTGCTCGAAGATTGAAATTTTGTTTTCTCGAAATATCGTAAGTATTTGCCCCAACTTCCCACAACTGTTTCAACTCGTGTATGAGCGGTTGCATGTAAACATCCAAGTTGCCCTTAGGGTTTTTAGGACCAGGAACGAGTAACGAAAGAAACATGAACTGTCTTTTCATACACATTGACGAAGACAAGTTATAAGGGGTCAAAATGACAGGCCAACAAGAATATTGTCCCCCAAACTGACCATGTGGAGCAAATCCATCCGTACATAGGCCAAGTCGAACATTACGAGGTTCAGAGGAAAAATCAGGAAAGCAACTATCTAGGTGTTTCCAAGCTTCACTATCGCTAGGGTGTGCCATTGTGCCTTGAACTCGAGGATTTTTAGCATGCCATGTCATTTCCTCAGAAATGTTTTTAGTTGCAAAAAGCCTTTACAACCTAGGTGTGATAGGGAAATAAAATAGAACATTCAAAGGCACTAAGCTACCTTTAGAAGTCTTCTTGTATCGGTCGCTGCCACACACCCTACATGTAGATAATTGAGCATCATCTTTCCAAAACAACATACATCCTTTCGGGCATGCATGAATCTTTTCATGGGGAAACTCTAACCCCTTAACAATTTTCTTGACCTCATTAACCAAATAAGCAAATCCATCAACACATCTGTGCGGCAAATTATACTCACACTTTAGACTAGTGATTCTAGAAGCCATCTCTAACACAGACAATGAGCTCCCTTCATATAACGGTTGTTCAGAAGCCCTTAACAAATCAAAAAAATGGCTTGGCTTGTGCATTAGGCTCCTCCTCTAATGAAACAGGTGCCTCTTCGGAATGGCCTTGATCTTGAGACTGACCAAAGGCATCCAAAACCATTTCACGATATTCATTTGACTGCCTTCTACGAGTTCCTGGAAACCCTTCCCCATGACACATCCACTCATAGTAATTAGGTAAAAAAACCGCTGCGATACAAATGAAGTTTAACCGTATCCGGATCCCAAAGACGTTTGTTTTTGCATTTAAAACATGGACACCTAACTTCATTCGGGTTGCTACTCTCGGGATGATCTTCCACATATTTAAGGAATTCATCTACCCCCTTCAAGAACTCAGGATTAATAGAATTCCCAACCTTTCTTTTGTACATCCAACCACGTTCTTTTCGTTTCATGATTACAAGTTCTACACAACTAACACATATGCCATTAATCACATTAGTCACAAAGCACAATATATATTCATAACAGATCAAAGTGTTATGGAAATGCAAATGAGAAGAGAAATGATTTCCAAGGGTCCTTATCACTCCAACCTAACCCATCCTTGGACGTTTAATCTCACTAGTGAATGTATGCCAGGATTTCAATTCTATGGAAAATCCGGCAGCATTTCCCTACAATTCTCCAAGTACACGATATAGGCGATTAGTAACACCTATATATGTACCTAGAGAACATTGTAGAGAAATGACAAGCAAGGATCTTCCTTAGAATTAAAAAAAAGGAATACATTCACCACCTAAGTGAGACTAAACGTACAAGGACAGTCCCAACCGGGGACTATTCAAGACATACTCCTAATGTGTATGCCTTGAACGGGTATCTAGGCATATGATTATGCA